CCCCCCAGTAAAGTTTACAAATTTATAAGGCTACAAGGTACGTGCCACTACTTGACCATAATCACAAAAGCACAGTTAACAAGCAAATGGAAAGATGTGACAGGACAACCACTACAGTGTGCTCGAGGGCGAACGACTGACAATTTTCACTCAGCTACATGAGTAAAGCAGGCAGGGGGTGAGTAACTGAAACAGCTGGCCCCTCGGTTGGTCAGGCATCATGTTTGAACATGTCTCCAGCAGTAATTCAAACCCTTAACCCCGCCCTGCGAAGGCAACTAAGATAAGGGCAGCTAAAACAAAAAAAAGTGATGTCTGGCCAGAGTTGAATTTGGTATAAGAGTTCAAACCACAATGAAATGTCAGCTCTAATCAACACTTTAATGTCAGACTGTGTAGACTTATCGCAACATCTGTCTCTTTTTTCTTTTAAGCATAAGACGGCATTATTTAATGCAGACACAAAGCTCACAAGTCAATTACAGTATTTGAAAGCACTTTTAGACTGATGAATCTGCGAGGAAAGACAGGGATAAGAGAGAAGGATGACGTTCTCAGAAGTGAAGACTTGTAGGGTCAGCGGTCAGTCCAGGTCAAGAGGGGGACGATGAAGGAGAAGATTGTGTCCGGTTTACTTCAGCAGCATGGCTTAGAAGCGCTTGGGCCCCCAGGGGGAGGACTTGGCTGCCACCGGGGCTCCAAAGCTAGGGAAATCCTCAGAGCTGCTCATGTCAGGGGCCTGGAAGAGTAAACACCATTTAGCACCATAAAACTACCACAGTTGATTACTTTTATTAATACACATTTGTATTTGTATTACAAGTTTCAGGTCAAATTATTTGTTCCATTTTGTTGACATATTTGAATTAAAGGTTGTACAGGGGGACATTTGGATATCTCTTTATATCACTCCATAAATCAAAAAAATAACTGTCAGCATTACAAAAACCTATTTACACCATGTTTTAGGAATAAGTAATGATCCAGTCCATGAATGAAATATGAACTAACCCCTCTGTAACAAACATTCAGAATATTGATGGAAAACACTCATTTTTGAAAAAAGGAACTTTAAAAAAAAAAAAAAAATGGTTTTCCTTCTACTAGTCTGAAAAAAAGAAATATAAAATATCCCAAACTCTCAAAATTAACTGCGAAGTTACCATTTCTACATTCAATCAGGTGAACTTTTGGACTCACCTTCTCGCTGCCAGTGGTCCAAGGTGCCTCGCGCACCACGAAGCCTTTGGATGGGCCACGATGTTCATCCATGGCGCCGGCAGCGCCTCCCCCAGGAGGCCTCATGTAAGCCATCTTTGTCTCATTCTCCACAGCATCTCCCATCTGGCAAAAGGTGGCAAGACAAAAAGTGTCAGTGCCAGTCAGGAAACAGTAAGGACTACAGGCATTTCTTATACTTATACAAATATATTAAATCTACAGTTGTCATGCACGCTAAAAAAGCTTACATATTCCTCTTCCAGGTTAAGAAGGTGGTCGATTGCTTCATCCACGAGCTCAGGGCGACCTGTGACTGTAACCACGTTCGGGTCTGCAGATCCACTCTGGGGAAACCTGAGATCAACCTGAAAAACATGCACACCAAGCCACACCAAATACTGAACACCTTTTTTTTAAAGTTATATTTTGAAACTCAAGATGGATTGCACATGCACTGCAACCTTTAAAACATGTTGACATAAGCACGGTTGTGGCATGACCAACAGAAAGATATGGACACAAGATGTGTGTAAATGTATTTAGTATCCTATCCATGTGAACATGATTTAAGTGGGGGGGACCTAACCTCCTCTAGGGGGGTCCGGGGGCATGATCCCCCGGGAAGATTTTTTTTTAAATATTGAAGTTAAATGCATCAATCTGGTGCACTTTGAGAGCAACATGAGGAGATCGATACATCTTTCAACATTCCATATGAAACAGAACTGTAAGCAGATTTTTCTTTTGGGATATTTTACAAATCACTCCCCTTTCGAACTCTATTCTTGTTATTTTTAACAACTTTTTTGTTACTGTCATATAGTATTTTATACCTGTTTTTCATTAGTCTCTAATGTCTCATTAATAACTATAATGATCATATCAAGGTGTGTCTTAACCTCACTGAGCTGAGGTTATTTGAGCCTCTCAGGAGAGAGCTCTCTTCCACCTGGTTGTAGAAAAGCTCTTTAAATTCGTTAGCATAGCTAGCTAACCAGATGCTAATAACAACAGATCGCCACTGTGCTTACAACTAAAGACACAGCCACGCAAACAGTGTGGCATGTGTACGGCTCCTTATGGGTACTGTAATATTTGAAGAGCTGGAGCGGCGTTCCGGTGCTCTCCGTCAGCACTTCTTTCAGACGAGACATATACCACGTGAAGACACGTTACGCTCGTGTTGTGTTCAAGGAACCTGTCCTCGGCCAGGAAAAACAGTCAGTCGCTTGTTTAATTACTTTGCGATCTAGATTTCTTCTTCTTTTTTGAAGTGAAAAGTTAGACAGACAGACCACCCCCCCCCAAAAAAAAAACGAAAACTCTTCGGTTCTCCACGAAGTCACCCAAATCAGCGTTAAAAAAGCGGGAGGCGCCAAAAAGCGACTAATTTGCATCACTGATATCAGTTAAACAGGACATTACACTGCCAGCTGCCTGGTACAACATCGGTTGGATGTCCCATCGAGCAAATGTGTGATTATTCATTTGAGAAACACATCTCGAGTTTAGCCCAGAGAGGGTGCCTGGGACAAAGCTGACCTGGTTCATGTTCATTTTGGAAAACATTTCCATGTTGCCCTCTCAGGTAAGCAGGTAAGCACTCAAGTCACCATAATCACAGTGGGTCGTCATGAGTAACCATGCTTTCCACCTTTAGACCAGGGCTCCAACACGTCGTTCGCGATTTACCGGTAGCTCACGGGCAGCCTTTCAGTAGCTGGCCGCTCGATTATCGATTATAGCGTAGTAAGGTTGCTTCTGGATTTTTCGGCTGAGGCTGGACAATAATGTTTTTTTATTTTAGAATTTTTTCTGTCACACCAATATCAAATTGGTCGGTGACGCAGAAATCAAGGAACAGACGTGACAGCGGCACAGCGACACCACACACGGAGCAGTCTGCTTTCTCCACCAACACCGGTCCAGAACCAACAGCAGAATGACCCGCACTGAGTCAGGCCCTGTCGCTGCGGCTCAGAGAAACACAGGGAGGGATTTGTGTTTTTTGAAAAACACTCGTTATCGTCATGTCAGGTTTTTGGTGGATTCAAAATCAAGTCTTGGATTGCAGAGTATGAACGTCCTCTTGCTATTTTCAGTTGATAAATACTTGTGTAAAGTTTGTGAAGGCAGGAGGAAGCTTCCGCGATCACGTCTCCTCTGTTCCTCCAAACCCCGCCCCCTCCCTGAAAATAATGAGTGACAGGCTGATAGTGACCCGATAGGAACTTTATTATTCACTGATTGAGATATGATGAAGCTAGGTTAATCTCATACATTCATGGGATTTATGTAACAGTATGACAGAGAATGTAAGTGTGCACCAACATGCACTATTTTTGTTTTTATAATGCTGTAAATACTCCTGTTGCCTGCTGTGTTCAGACTCAAGTCATGTGTGTGATGCCACATTCAGGAAAAAGATGGCTGAACTGTTCAGTGTCAATCCTCTGGAGATGGGGGTTATAAATCTCCAAAATAATGTTCAGCTAAAGTCTAAGCAAAACTCACAACATTTCTGGAGCCTTGTAGACCCAGAAAACTCTAAGAACATTCACCAAGCAGCACTGAAAATGTCTGCTTCATTTGGTTCTGTTCTTCATACCTTTGTGAAGCAGCTTTTTCTGACATGAATGTCATGAAATCTAAATACAGAACAAGACTGACTGATGAACATTTAAATGACTCTCTTAGAGTGAACTTAAGTGGGTACACTGCATGCAGCATAAACCTGTATGGTGGACTCCATGCAGTGCCAAATCTCACTGACTGTGAAAAAGCACTTATTTTACACATGTGCCATAAGATGTTTGTACGGTGGTGTTTAAGGACATTATTATGTGAATGTTCAGTGATGTACTTACTATGTGGGCCATAATCATATGTGAGAAATTGTCGTTTTCTTGGACCTTGATGTGAAGTTATGATTTTTGACAAGCTTTAGGTATTGCAATTTTGCATGTATACAAAAGTAGCTTAATTCAACTGATGAGGGCTATGTGAATAAATGTAGGCGATGCAAGTAGCTCTTGGCCACTTTCATATTTTCAAAGTAGCTCTCAGATGAAGAAAGATTGGAGACCCCTGCTCAAGACATCTTGGAAGAAGCCTTTTGCTTACCTTGTTCATGTTTATTGTTTCAAGTAGAATGTATAAGAGTCCCAATCCACCTCCCCCAAACCAGACTGCCCCAGCTGGGTAGAAACTAGAGATGAGAAACCGTCCTGTCCTCTGAGCAGCCTCACCTTAAACTCGTCCATGATCTTGCGGATGCCCTTGCCGCGTGCTCCGATGATGCGTGCATGGACCCTGCTGTCCAGGGTGATGTCCTCAGAGATCATCTCCTCCAGCTCGTCCACTAAAGCTTGGATGGCATCTCGTGCTGCTATGGCTTTGTGCTCATAACCTGTAATAGTAATCTGATCCTGCGGAGAAACGGCAGCAAATTCAACATGACATGGAAGAACATTTTGATTTCATCCTCCATAACTTTCATTAGTAATTAAAAAAGGAAGCTATACCTGGTTTTCATCATTCTTCTCTGGGAACTGGATGTTCACATCGTGTTCCGTGCGGATAGTTGTTATGATTGCACCCTTGCGTCCGATGATTTTAGGGTGATACTTAGGGTCCACAGTGATGGTCAGCTTGAAGCTCCTGAGTGCCTGTAGAGGGGTAATGGTCACAATAATCCGGGTCAGTCTGAACTGTAATCCTTCCTATAAGGGATGCTCCGATCGATCGGTCACCAATCGAGATCGGCCGATACTCACTCTCTACCGATCGATCGGTGCTCTCAAAATATGCCGATCGCGAGAGCCGATCGCATGACGTAAAATACATGACACTTTTCTCTGTGCGCGGCAAAACAAGCTCGCCAAAATGGCTTCACCGGTCTGGCATTATTTTAAGGTGTCCGAAAAAGACAGTAAAATAGCGGTATGCAACGTGTGTGAAGCAGAAATCCTGCAGCTCCGCCCGCCGGATCGGTGAGCGGAGCGAAACACACACTAAGAGTTAGACCTAACACACTTAGCTATTTGATCTACCACTGGAACAAGCTACACTAGTTATACATATATTTATTCTTCACTGTCGGGTCACTCATTACTGGATCAGTGAGCTGCATGAGATACTGACAGGCTGTCAGGAGAGGGACGGCCCGTCCACACAGCGGTGTTGGAAGCTTCTTCAGACACGCCCACCTCCAAGCTTTTTCCAAAGCCGCTGTGTGGACGGGCCGGGAGAGAGGGGGAGAGAGAGAGGAAAAGAGAGCGCTTCCGCTCATTTCTCCCATGTTATTCTCCAAAGTGAATGTAAACTTGAATAATGTACTTCATTTGAATGTAATAATTAAGTTGATTGTTGTTTGTGGAAGCTCCAGTGAATGAGCCCCATTAACTGAGTTTTAAACATCACTTTAAATGGAAGATTTAAAGTGATGTTGAAATCTTCCATTTAGGCCCCGCCCACTCGATCGGATTGGCAATCGGTATCGGCCGATACTGATTCCGGCGATTGGCCCCAAAATTGGCGATCAGAGCATGCCTAACAACAACAACAATGTTAGAGCAGGGAATCTCTGGATTGTGTCTAGAGTTTGAAGCATGTATAAACTGCATTGTTATTGCTAAAGTGATAAAAGTGAGTTACCCTAGTATATACAAGCAGACTTCAAGGCCTGCACTTTTCTGTTATAACCTGAGCAACGGTAAAAGCTTAAGTAAAGTATTTTTCCTGGAGAAAAGTATATAACAATTTGATTAACCTCTGCCTAGAGCAGAGATTGTCAGGGGAGATATAGGGATAGTGGCTTGAAAAATGAGGAAAGTAGCGGTGTTTTTTTCAGCAAGAAAAATATGATCATCACCACTTGCACAATGACAGCAGTATAAAACACTCATGGAACCCTTATCAGGGTTATGTTTAAAGTTAATCTTCTAGCGTTGATCTATTTTAAAAGGCAGATATTTTTGAAAAAGTTTGAGGCAACTGAGAAGGCATGGATAAAGGTGACATTACCTCATCCCACTGACACTGTGCTTATAAATCATATTTCAAAGCAGAATATACAATTAAATGACTTATTAAGATGTTTTGCAGAGGCTCAGCAAACACTGTCAACGCTTCCAAGTGGGGCATGGGATGTTTGTGTGTTCCTATCAGTGATGGAAAGTAACTTGAGGTTTCTACCTAAGTACTTTTTTGACATATTTGTAGTTTATGTGAGTATTTCCTCTTAACCCTTCTATTGACTTCATTTTCCCCCCCTTACTTTGGTGTTCGCGGTCAAATTTGACCGGTCCTGTTTTAACTGCTATTACATTAACAC